AATTACAGAATAAAATGTGCACTTTTAATGTGCAGTACCGCTATTTATTTTTAAACTAACTCTGCACAAATACAGAAAAAGTGAGTTTGTACTTAAAAAACAGTAAATGTATTATGCTGTTATCTTAAAGTGGAACTGCACTGTATGTGAGCACCAAAAACTAAAAATGTTGTTTAATTCATTTTTGATATTCAGAGCAAACTCTCCAATCCATCCATATCTCCATGCTTTATTTTGTTGAGAAACCATTTTGAAAAACACTCCCTGGCATTTCTGGCAGTGGTCATCTTGAGTAAGGGTAGATGATTCATGTAGCATTTACTTCCTGGAATCCATCTCTTAGCTCAGGCATTGTCTGAGCTGAAAACCTTCCCTCCCCTCCTGAAGACTCCTGGGATGTATGACATAATTTGCCTAGGCATGGAAAAAAAGGAAGTAACTAAAGAAATGTAAAAAAAAACTATTTAAAGAAAGTTCTATTTTTAATGCTAGCAGCATAAGGATGAACTGCTTCCGCATCACCCTATAGCAGAAATACTGCTACAGGGTGGCACGGGTATGCGAAATCACGTACATATATGTGATTTTGCAGTTCTGGGTAGGGGACGCGTGCCCTACCTACGCCGCCATTTGTGGCCTTCGCTGTAAATCACCAGGTCCTGGCCAGTGATTCCCTGCCGACACCCAGTGATCTCCGAGTATTACCGACGGGGAGAGACCTGTATATAAACAACTCAGATCTCTCCCCTGTCAACTCCTGCACACTGCTTTGTATGGCTTTGCAAAGCACACACACAGCACACAGTAAAACAGCACACAGTTAACCCTTTGATTAACCCACATGTTAACCCCTTCCTGTCCAGTGCCATTAGAACAGTGTCAGTGCTTTTTATTAGCACTGATCACTGTATTGGTGTCACTGGGGATGTCAGTGACACCAAGTCAGTCCCCCCCCCATGTCAGAATGCCTGCCGCTGTCCCACTATAAGTTGCTGATCACTGCCATTGCTAGTAAAAAAGAAAAAAACTCCAGTATATATACCGCCATTTGTAAACGCTATAACTTTTACATAAACCAATTCATTTACACGTATTGGGATTTTCGTTAGCAAAGACATGTAGTAGAATACATTTTGGCCTAAATTTGTGACAAACTTTGATTTTTAAAAAAAAATTTTACTGGACATGTTTAATAGCAAAAAGTAAAAATGATTGCTTTTTTCTCATAATTGTTGTTGTTTTTTTATAGCACAAAAAAATATGACCGCACAATTGTCAGTTAAAGTTGTATTGCAAAAAATGGCTTGGTCAGGAAGGGGGGTAAATCCTCTGGAGGGTAAGCAGTTAAAAATAGTCCATGTACATTGAGACAGTGAAGTTCTGTAAAAAATGCTCTGGTCTATTAGGGGTGAACAAGTATGAGAGGCGAAGTGGTTAAAGAAGTTTTCCAGAAAATGTTATACAGGAGACTTTGAGGGGGGCAAGAGTAACCTGTAAGTTACCTCTAGCTCTGTGTCTTTTAGGCCTTTTTTCACATGGGTGTTCCATCAGTCTGTTTTTGACCTGTGATTAGACCGATCGAATACTGACTGCAACCTATCCCTGTGGGTGCCTGGATGTAAATGGATGTGAATCTGTTTACGTTTGAAGGCTTATATGCAAGTTATTGGCCATAAAAGGGGTACGGGAACTTGGGTACTGCCCTGAGGGACATAAATCAGTGAAAATTTTAAAAAGTACCATTTTTTAAAGGGGCAGTCATTTTTCATTGTTTAAAGTAAAAGAAGAAGAAGAAGAAAAAAATAAAAATTCCTTTACATATCATGCCTGATGCTGGTGTGGGGGGCCGCCTTTGCTCTGCATTCTGCCGCATCTCCCCGACCCTCCTTCTTCTTCTCCCTCACTATCCTTTGACTTCCCCTTTTTCTTTTTTTTTCCCCTATTTCTCTTTCCCTGTAGACTCTTTTCTCCTTTTTTTTTCTGTTTGGGTTTATAGTTTTGGTTTCACAGAGTTTCCACATTTTGTTCCATATATTTCGTCTGGGGATGCACCCCGTGAACCTATGTTCTTTTTTGTTTCTCTCTATACTTCTGTAATATGTGTTATTAAAACACTTCCATTTCGTGGTTGTTTAGACTTATTTTCATTCATCCACATGGACCATTGACACACCTATGATGTTTTTCTATCCACTTGTCCATGCTATTATTATTTCTCATGTTTTGTATTGTTAACATTGCTGTAAAATATAATAAAGACAAATTTTCCTTTAAATATCATGCCTGGGGGTCCCTTAAACTACCTGCTAAGTTATACATCTGTACCATGTATAGAACCTGCTGCAGCAGGACCAACATTTAAAAACAAAATTACATTTGTATAAAAAAAAACCCAAAAAACAAAACAGCATGGGGTCCCCCCCTAACCCTTTAGGTCTGATAGGAAGGTTAGAAGGGACCCCACAGTAATATTTTTTCTCAAAAGTGTGTGGGGTTCCCCCTAAAAGGCATACCAGACCCTTTAGGCCTGGTAGGACTTTTAAAAGGGAACCCCACCCACCAAAAATGGGGGGGGGGGATCGTGGGGTCCCCCCTAAATTCCTTGAACATACAGAGTCTTAGAGAGGGCGGGCCTGCTAATGTGTTACCCTGGCTATGATTGGCCAATAGCCCCTTCCCGTGTGTTGAGTTGAGTAGAGGGTGACAGCACTGAGCTCTCTGTCCCCTTCTATTCCTGCTGGCAAAACTTCAAGGATCTACCCCCCCAAAAGAGAGGAGCACCCCTTCCCTGAGAGGTGTAGGGATGGACAAGATCTTGAGCCGCTGTAGGGAATATTAACAGCTATTTTCCATCTGGCCAAACACCTCAGTTCTGGTGAGAACCAGCCAGATCTACAGAGCAGCCGCATCTATCCAAGTACCAGGCAGTGAAAGTCATGCTGACCAGATTTGACCAGACCAGTTTGATGACACCGGAGGTCCAGTGATATTATACACAAATGCGCATAAAGATTGCGTATCTGGTGAGTGCGCAATCTTTACATTATTTATCACCTTTACGGTTCCAAATATTGGACGTCTGAGGATCATCTTGGATCTTAAGAGTACCCCTTCATTGGACTCTTTCATTTATTTGCACTTCCTTCACTTTATAACCACCATTCAGTGGCTTTGTTTATTAGCACACAGTCACTGTTTATTTTTCTGATTGTGATTCTGAGCTTCATCATTATTAGTTAGATTGTATAGCGCTGCACCCCTTTTATATTTTTTCCCCCTAAATTCCTACCAGACCCTTGATCTGAGCACAGGAATGAGCACCCGCCCCTCCTTAACCATACCAGGCCACATTCCCCCTGCTTGTGAAAGGGGCCAGGAAAAATGCTGTAAAACCTTTCTTCTATCTACATGTCATACTATGCCGACCAGCTTCTTGTCCTGGTGCTTTCATTAAAATAGAACTAAAGGCAAAACTTTTGTTCAATTTGGATAAAGTAAGGGACCCCTGTTTTGTTCTATTGGTGGGATTTCCCCTTGCTTCCAGTCCCATTGCCAAAACAGGAAGCTAGAGGGAATCCCTCCAAAGTGAAGGAAATCCTGGTTGTCACCAGAACTAGTATCCCCATGGGAACTTTTACCCTCTATTAGTCTTCTGGATATGACCCACAATTTGGGATTTTCTTGCACTTTCAGTGGTAATGGTAGGGCCACAAACATAATTAAGTGGCCCCATGGGATTGCGAGCCCTGGCACCTCTTGTTAAAGTTAAATAAAGCTTGTTTAGCTGTTAAGGTTTTTTTGTTGCTGGGCAGTTTTGGCTCTCTTTTTTATCTATTTCAGGTCCCCCTTTCCTGTATCCAGACAGAATCTCAGCTAGCAGCTGTCGTAAACAGATCAGCTTGTTGCAGATGCTTTATGATTGGTTAGGGTGTTTCGGAGGGAAAAATAGCAAAAAATCAGAACTTTCATCTACCTATATAATGTCTGTTTCTGAGATGATTTTCAGCAGTTAAATCTTCAATCAAGGCCAGCCGTCCAACCCGCCCTGCCCTTTGTCACAGCTGTCCTTTGTTGGGGGTATTGTTGCCCACTATTGTGGGTGCACAGTGTGATTCATGACTTTAATGGACTGTTACATTCAGCTCCAGTCTTGGTGACTGAGCTTTGGTGTTTGCTATTTGGTTCAAATATTATTGGTTTGTTTATGTATATTTAACTACTTGATCTCCGGAAGATTTTATCCTCTTCCTGATCAGGCCATTTTTTGTTATATGGCACTTTGTTACTTTAACTGACAATTGCGCTGTCAACGTCGGGGGAGTCTATAATGAGACAACGGATGGTGTCCTGGGGTATTTCCTCCCAGATCCGGACCAGGGCATCACTGAGCTCCTGGACAGTCTGATGTGCAACCTGGTGGCGATGGATGGATCGAAACATGATATCCCAGAGGTTTTCTATTGAATTTAGGTCAGGTGAGTGGCACTTGTTAATGTGAGTGGATCTTTGTCTTGTCTTACACACTTTTTATTGTCATAAAAGCTATGGGTCTGAGAAGGAGATCCTGGTGATATTTGCCTCCTTTATAACACTGCCTGGTTTACATGATATGCCTGAATTGGAACTAGATCGGGAGATCCTGGTGATGTCTGCTTCCTTCATTAGCTGCTCTGATCATATAATAAGCGCAGATTGTGATTGGAGCTGGTAAGCCCAGGGGCGGACTGACCATTTGGAAACTCGGGCACTGCCCGAGGGCCCGGGGTCAGTAGGGGGCCCCATGAGATGTCCCTGGTACCTTTTCCATTGGCTTTTTTGAGTTTAGACAAGGACACAGGGGCCCCATGATCCCCTATTGCCCGGGAGCCCCATGAGTTGTCAGTCCGCCCCTGGTTAAGCCTACCAATTTACTGCACGTTGCTAATGAAGAATTATTGTTTATCACATTGGACACAGGTGTTGGCTGCATGGTTGGATTGCCAATATTTTGAAAGGACAATCAGGGTCAGTAGGGGGGCCCATGAGATGCCCCTGGTACCTTTTTCATTGGCTTTTTTGAGTTTGGGCAAGGACACAGGGGCCCCATGATCCCCTATTGCCCGGGAGCCCCATGAGTTGTCAGTCCGCCCCTGGTTAAGCCTACCAATTTACTGCACGTTGCTAATGAAGAATTATTGTTTATCACATTGGACACAGGTGTTGGCTGCATGGTTGGATTGCCAATATTTTGAAAGGACAATCAGGGTCAGTAGGGGGGCCCATGAGATGCCCCTGGTACCTTTTTCATTGGCTTTTTTGAGTTTGGGCAAGGACACAGGGGCCCCATGATCCCCTATTGCCCGGGAGCCCCATGAGTTGTCAGTCCGCCCCTGGGTAAGCCTATCAATTTACCGCATGTTGCTAATGAAGAATTATTGTTTATCACATTGGACACAGGTGTTGGGTGCATGGATGGATTGCCGATATTTTGAAAGGACCAGCAAAAGTTTTATATGGACATTTTGAAATGTTTTGAGTTGTAGTGTTTATATATTTATGTTCACATTTTCACAATGATGTTTTTACAATGCACTATTTATTTATTTTTTAATACTAGTATTGGTGGTGATCAGCGACTATTAGTGGGACTGTGATAGTATGGGGGCAATCTGACACCAACTGACACTTTGTGGAAACCAGTGACACTAATACAGTGATCAGTGCTATTAAGATACACTGACACTGTGCTAATGACACTGGCTGTAAAGGGGTTAACATTTGGGGGCAATCAAAGGGTTAACAGTGCTTGGTATATTTACTTTGTTGTGAATTTACTAAGGGATGCACTGGTTTTTATTTCCTGCAGGGAAACAAAAACTGGCTCATCCCTGCTGTCAGGACAGAGCTCTGTGTGTACTGGTCTGCCTTGGGGAGCGGAGTGGAACACCCCTCCCTATGATCCCTACTCCCTCCCCCTTTTCCTCACTCCCATCCCCCCTTTTTTTCTTTTCTCTAGGCACCTTTACATTTCCAATTTCTGCCCCCCCCCCCCCCCCCCCCCGAAAATTGGACCATGGACTCTTACTACACGTTTGCAGTCTCTTACCGTCTCCTGTTGTATGTCTGCAGCCTTTGACCATCTCCTGTACTATGTCTGCAGTTTCTGACCATCTCTTGTAGTATGTCTGTAGTCTCTGACAGTCTCCTGTATTATGCCTGCAGTCTCTGACCATCTCCTGTAGTATGTCTGCAGTCTCTGACCATCCCTGTTGTATGTCTGCAGTCTCTGACTGTCTCCTGTAGTATGTCTGCAGTATCTGACTGTCTCCTGTTGTATGTCTGCAGCCTCTGACCATCTCCTGTACTATGTCTGCAGTTTCTGACCATCTCCTGTATCATGTTTGCAGTCTCTGACCATCTCCTGTATCATGTTTGCAGTCTCTGACTGTCTCCAGTAGTATGTCTGCAGTCTCTGACCATCTCCTGTTGTATGTCTGCAGTCTCTGTCTCCTGTAATATGTCTGCAGTCTCTGACCAGCTCCGGTACTCTGTCTGCAGTTTATGACCATCTCCTGTACTATGTCTGCAGTCTCTGACCATCTCCTGTACTATGTCTGCAGTCTCTGACATCTCCTGTACTATGTCTGCAGTCTCTGACATCTCCTGTAGTTTGTCTGCAGTCTCTAACATCTCCTGTAGTATGTTTGCAGTCCCTGACTATCTTCCTGTAGCGTGTCAGATGGGAGAATGGCAATCCTCATAATAGATGGAGGGGAAAAGTTCTGTTAGGGAAGAGGAGGCTGAGTGTGACGAGTTTGCGGCTCCCTCTGAAGTGAAATAAGGGATGGAGGGTGCACCGGTGCTGACAGAGGTTGTCAATGAGGAGATATGAAGGACAGAAACTGTCTGTGATGAGATGGAGGTTTGTTTGTCAGTTTTCCCCTGGTTGCTGCTGCAGTAACTAGCACTTGCTAAAGCAGGCTGTCAGCAGAGTGAACGGATGCAGCTCTCACTTAGCTCCGGCTGCAGGGGGAAGGTGGAGTGATATAATCTGCACCCCACCTCTATTCTGCATACCAGATGCTGGTTTGGGTGCAATGCCAGTTGCAGCTCAGCTATGTGGAAGAGCTGAGCTGCGTGTAGCCTGCAGGACTGCCCAGTACTCACTATTGACTGTTCTGGAGACAAGCTGCTAGACAGCACAATGGTAAATTGATTGGCAATGTTGCTGGATTGGGCTGTCTCTTTTTCTATATGGGGATGTATCTTTGGTGAATATATGGGGATGTATCTTTGGTGAATATATGGGGAGGTACCTTTGGTGAATATATGGGGATGTCTCTGCTGGTTTGGGCTGCATAGATTGGGGGTGGGGGGACACTGAAAAGGTAGTGCAGTTTGTGTAGGGTCCTGCTGAAAAGTATACCTTGTCATGGTGGCAGGCTTCATATTTTGTGGCCCAAATATAATTCGTTACTGTTAAATCTTGGAAGCAGTGATGAATTGGAATACACGCTTCATTTTCATATATTTAGTTGTAAGAGCATTAAAATAAAAGTGGTTGCACTGAAGGACTTGGTGGGATGGCCTGTGGGCGGATTCGGTGGGATGGCCATTTTGCAGGTCCGGGGGGGAATGTTTTTGGTCAGACCCAGGGCCAGACCTAAAGCTGTGTAAGGGGCCCCACATTTCTGATGGCTGCACTGTCTATAGTAATGAATAAGTGAACATAATGGGAAACCATCAGGCAGTGTGTGTACTGCTGGGAAAGAATTTATATCGAGCAGAGGCCACTGTAGGTAATTTACAACTCCCACCAGCTTCCCCAGCGCCAGCTACATTCTACTGTGTGGCGTTGTCAGGGTCACAGCATAAGGCAGAAGCAGCTGTGTGCGCATGTGCAAAAGACTCCAGTCTGAAGCGTTCTCAGTACCCCCCACATAGAGGAGGCGGAAGTCGGAAGCGTGTCCTCTTTGCAAGGACGGAAGTGCACCGTTAGGTCACCTGGAAGTTCTTGTCTGGATAGTATGGCGGCCAGTAACGTGGAGAAGGGAGCAGGGAGTTTGGCTGGAAGTGGCCGAGGATGGATTCGTGGAATGTACCGCTTTATCACCGACAAAAATGACTTTCGCCGGTATGAGTGTGCGCGGTTGTGAAGAGGTGGGTGTGTCGGGACAGAGCCTGCGCGAGGCGCTGGGAATAATGTCGCCGTGTCTTCTCTTGGCAGGAATCTACTTGTGAACTTCGGCCTGTTTGCAGCTGGAGTGTGGGTGGCCAGAAACATGGCAGACATTGATCTGATGGCTCCGCAGCCGGGCGTATAGAGGACGAGAGAAAGGAGGTAAGGGCCTGAATGAGGGAGGGAGCAGACAGCCGGTCATGTCACCTCACTGCACACAGCTAATGGGGGAGAGAGATCCTTGTTTTGGCTGTGTCACTGACCTCCATCTCATCCCTCAGCGTCTTGTCCTGTGATTAAGTCACCCCAGGTGAAGGATCAGCACTTAGAGATTGTTTTGTAAAACAGCACACCTTACGGCACATATTTACCCCTTGATTGCCCTAGATGTTAACCCCTTCCCAGCCAGGGTTATAGTCATTCGTACAGTCACCGTGTGTAGTATTATCACTGATCACACTACTGTCAGTGGCAGTCAGTCAGTGTCTGTCCACTTTTATAGGTCACTGATCACCACCATTAGTAGTATTTAAAAAAAAAAATAAAACATTTTCAGTATATACAGTGGGGATCGAAAGTTTGGGCACCCCAGCTAAAAATTTGTATTAATGTGCATAAAGAAGCCAAGGAAAGATGGAAAAAATCTCCAAAAGGCATCAAATTACAGATTAGACATTCTTATAATATGTCAACAAAAGTTAGATTTTATTTCCATCATTTACACTTTCAAAATAACTGAAAACAAAAAAATGGCGTCTGCAAAAGTTTGGGCACCCTGCAGAATTTATAGCATGCACTGCCCCCTTTGCAAAGCTGAGACCTGCCAGTGTCATGGATTGTTCTCAATCATCGTCTGGGAAAACTACGTGATGTCAAGCTCAAAGGTTTTAAATGCCCAGACTCATCTGACCTTGCCCCAACAATCAGCACCATGGGTTCTTCTAAGCAGTTGTCTAGAAAACTGAAACTGAAAATAGTTGACGCTCACAAAGCTGGAGAAGGCTATAAAAAGATAGCAAAGCGTTTTCAGATGTCAATATCCTCTGTTCGGAATGTAATTAAGAAATGGCAGTCATCAGGAACAGTGGAAGTTAAAGCAAGATCTGGAAGACCAAGAAAAATATCAGACAGAACAGCTCGCAGGATTGTGAGAAAAACAATTCAAAACCCACGTTTGACTGCACGATCCCTCCAGAAAGATCTGGCAGACACTGGAGTTGTGGTACACTATTCCACTATAAAGAGATACTTGTACAAATATGGTCTTCATGGAAGAGTCATCAGAAGAAAACCTCTTCTACGTCCTCACCACAAAAATCATCGTTTGAACTTTGCAAATGAAAATATAGACAAGCCTGATGCATTTTGGAAACAAGTTCTGTGGACTGATGAGGTTAAAATTGAACTTTTTGGCCAGAATGAGCAAAGGTACGTTTGGAGAAGAAGGGGCACAGAATTTATTGAAAAGAACCTCTGTCCAACTGTTAAGCATGGGGTTGGATCAATCATGATTTGGGGTTGTGTTGCAGCCAGTGGCACAGGGAACATCTCACGAGTAGAAGAAAAAATGGATTCAATAAAATTTCAGCAAATTTTGGATGGTAACTTGATGCCATCTGTGAAAAAGCTGAAGTTAAAGAGAGGATGGCTTCTACAAATGGATAATGATCCTCAACACACCTCGAAATCCACGGGGGATTACATCAAAAAGGCGTAAACTGAAGGTTTTGCCATGGCCTTCACAATCTCCTGACCTCATCATAATTGAAAATCTGTGGATAGATCTTAAAAGAGCAGTGCGTGACAGACAGCCCAGAAATCTCAAAGAACTGGAAGACTTTTGTAAGGAAGAATGGGCAAAGATACCTCAAACAAGAATTGAAAGACTCTTGGCTGGCTACAAAAAGCGTTTACAAGCTGTGATACTTGCCAAAGGGGGCAGTACAAGATATTAACTCTGCAGGGTGCCCAAACTTTTGCAGACGCCATTTTTTTGTTTTCTGTTATTTTGAAAGTGTAAATGATGGAAATAAAATCTAACTTTTGTTGACATATTATAAGAATGTCTAATCTGTAATTTGATGCCTTTTGGAGATTTTTCCATCTTTCCTTGGCTTCTTTATGCACATTAATACAAATTTTTAGCTGGGGTGCCCAAACTTTCGATCCCCACTGTATGCCATAGTTTGTAGGTGCTATAACTTTCATGCAAACCAATAAATATACATTTATTTTATTTCAGGTACTTTATAGTGTTGTCAATTTATGCAGCACTTTACATACATATATATTTATTCACATCAGTCCCTAACCCTCAAGGGGTGTACAATCTAAGGTTCCTATCTCACATTCATACATACACATACTAGGGCCAATTTAGATAGGATCCAATTCACCTACCAGCATGTCTTTGAAGTGTAGGAGGAAACCGTAGTAGCTAGAGGAAACCCACGCAAGCACAGGGAGAACATACAAACTCCAGGTAGGTGGTGCCGTGGTTGGGATTCTGACCTATGACCCTAGTACTGCCAGGTGGAAGTGCTAAACATTTAGCCACTGTGCTGGCCATTTATTGAGATTTTTTTTCTATCAAAGATGTAGCAGAATACATTTAAAAATTTTTTTAAATTGGATATGTTTTATAAAACAAAGTAAATAATATGTCGTCTCGTACCCCCCCCCCCCCCCCCCCAACATTTTCAGTCTTTTTGTTTATATTAGGAGGAAAAAACCCAGTGGTGATCAAATACCACCAAAAGAAGGCTATATTTGTGTTTTAAAAAAGAAAAAAAAACATACAGGGGGAACACCTGTGTCAAAGGGGTCTTTACTGTTCCATCACAGGAGCAAGCTCTTTCTTTCCCTGATGCTGTAGCTCTGAGTTCTGTGTTTGAGAGCTCACTCCTGTGAGGGTGAACAGTAATGACAGCCTCTCAGCAATGTCCTGTGAATATTCCAGTCAGGGTTCATGAGGTCCATAAATAGTCTTGACCTATAGCAAGGACATTATTCAACTTAGGCTGGCCATACACTATACAATTTTCTTACAGTTCTCTGCCCAATTTCCTTTAGATTTACCTTCCACTTAGGGCCTGCCTAATTAGATACAATTGAAAGTGTTGTTTAGGTTTGACCTCATTATATAGTTTTTGGTAAATCTAAAGCAAAAATTTCAGGAAAATTCTATAATGTATGGCCAGCCTAAGTCTGAGCTGCACAGTGTGTTTTTATCTACAGACACCCCTTATCTGCATAAGTAGTTTTTTGGTAACATTTAACTAACCCCTTAAGTTTGTATTAAAGTCTTAACAGTTTCTCTCTAGCACAGTACTAGTAGCTGCACTTGAAAGGTTTTTAACCACTTGTGTACTAGCATGTGGTAGAATGGGATTTTAAACACAGGGACTGAGATTAAATATGTTCATCAGGTGGTGGGCATTCTGGTGGAAGTGATCCAGGTGGCTTAAAGTCATCCAATAAGCCTTGCTGAAGATTAGTGTACTGCTGTAGTCCTAGGAGCGTGTACATAAAGGTAATTTCAAGGGAGCCATCTTAAAGGCGCAACTGTGGTTAATAAGATCTTCGTTTTTTTTTCTTCTTTGATTAGCAACAGCAAAAGATGATCAGCATGATCCGGCCAATGGATGACCGCTGCCACACGCTAATCTGCAAGGAGAGAGACAGAACACAGCGCTGCCTAGGCAGAGCTGTGTCCTGTCAGCAGCAATGTGTTAAATTTTGTTTCCCTGCATTAAAAGGGAATAAAATCCAGCAACTTAATAAAAACACATAGGAAACACAAAATCACAGGCACACAGTTAACCCTTTAATTGCCCTAGATGTTTAACCCCTTCCCAGTCAGTGTCAGTAGTATAGTGACAGTGTATATTTTTAGTGCTGATCACTGTATTACTGTCACTGGTTCCCACAAAGAGTCAGATTTTCCACCGCAATATCGCAGTCCCGCTATAAGTCACTAATCGCCATTACTAGTATAAAAATTCCAGTATATATACCATCGGTTGCAGACGCTATAGCTTTTGTGCAAACCAGTCAATATACACTTATTGGGATTTCCTTTTTTCAAAATATGTAGCAGCATATTGGCCTAAATTTATGAAGAAATTTGAATTTATTTTATCCACTTGGTAACTGCGCTATAGCCAAATGACAGTGTGGTTACCCAGTTCTGGGAGGGCGTCATATGACGTCCTCCCAGAACACACCCTTCCGCGCGCCCCCAGGGGCGAGCACCCGGCGATCTCCGTGATCGCTGTGTCCTACGGACACAGCTGATCACGTGATGAGGTAAAAGGCCAATCACAACGGCCTTTTACCACGTGATCAGCTGTGTCCAATGACTCAGATCACAGAGTAAATACAGTTGCCGGTTATTGGCAGCACTTTCCTCACGGTGTCACAGCGTGAGGAAAGTACTATCAATAACCGGCAGCTGTGACAGAGCAGATCAGTGCAGACCAGTAGGCAAGTGGTTAATTCTTTATTGGATATGTTTTATAGCAGAATGTAAAAAATATTTTTTTTTTTTTTCTCAAAAGTGTCTTATAATGTCCATTTATTTTTGTACCTAGAGAGGAACTTCAGTCTCGACCTCCCCCACTTTTTTTTTCCCCTCCCAACACCCCTTTCCTCTTACCTGTTATCCAAGGTTACCCTCAATTCAGATATTCGCCTGCCCAACAAATTCAGTGTTCTGCTGTAATCTGCTGCTCAAGTGCTGCAGCTCAGTCCCGTTCTAGCATCTTTCTTCCTGATGTCATTGGGAGCCAGCTGCCCTTTCTGGGTTCAGGTGTGAGGTGTTTATTAGAATACTTATGCACACTTGGCATTGTGCAAAATGTACCCATTACTCTGTGCACCACTGCACTCAGTCTGCACCCCAATACATTCAGCACTCATACATTCAAGGGACATTGCCATTAACACACTGGCCACACTGCACTATTCACCTCACATATACACCCACCACATCTCATACTTGCTTCACAGGTCCCAGTGATGGGTAAATATACTGTCAATTGTCAAGCCTGAAGCAGATCCTCAGCCCCCAGTTAGCAGAGTTAATTTGCCCACATCATGGCCCACTCAAGCCTGTGCTTGGTAGCTCCATTTTGTACTGGAACA